CCCTCTGCATGCTTCGCGGGGCTCCTCGGCGCTGTTTGGGAAAACGATTTCCCCCTGCCAGAAACACGTTTCCTACATTTCATCGGTCCGCACAGACCGAGCGGAAGTAAAATGCTGGCTTTTTTTTTTCTTTCTTTCTTTCTTTTTTTTTTCCTTTGCTTTTCTGGTGGACAGCCAAATGCAATTGACACCGGTTTGCCCTTCGAACGGGGAGAGATTGGGTTACAAGGCTTTGGCAGCGATTCTGAGGTTGGGGCCAAGCTCCAGCCCCTCCTGGTCCCCCAAACACTAACCTAAGGGGGAGAGGGAGGGGTGGGGAGGGATCGTATTCACCCCCACTTTAAACCGAGTCAATGGCTTTAGCACAGTATTAAAATCGGGTGTTGGCAAAGGTTTTCTGGCCCGGCCTGTGATTTTGCAGACTGAGGTCCGGGTTTTCCAATCACTGCAGCTTCTCTCAGGGCAGATTGAAGAAAGCAAGGCTCTCCCAACCGTTCTGTCCATACCAGCCTTGAGAGGAGACTGCGCCCACGGCTGTTTTCACTTTACAAGAGGAAATGCAAGTCCTCCCTGCCCTTTGCTTCGGCACGGTGTTGAACATCAGAGACGATTTGATCCAACTGCTGTTTATTGGAACCTGTATTCGGAGCTGGACTCTTTCACCCAGCAGGCAGCGGTTGCGGGTCCCCTGCCTCTCGGGTTCAGCGGTCCTGGTCCCTCAGTTCTTTGAGTCTCTCGCTAGTGTGTACCCGACGCCAGGGCTACAGGTGTGCCAGCCCTGCCTCGGATACCATGCGTAAAACTGTAGCCTGGTGGGCTGGCCAGCCCAGCACTTTGGGAGGCTGAAGCTGGAGGATTGCCAGTTCCAGCCCAGCCTGGGCAACTCAGTGACTTAACAAACCCTGTCCCAAGATTAAAGATGAAATGGAGTACTATTCAGCATAAACAATGAGAAACTAGAGACATTTATAGCTAAGTGGGTGCACATTGAGGCCATACGCTTAAGTGAAATTAATAGGACACACGTATGTAAATACCATATCGTTTCTCTGGTGTGAAAAACAGTGTAAATGAGGATCAAAATGTACAATTGACATTGTGTAATAGGAAGAAAAGATCTAATGGAGTTGGGGGCAGTGGAAGGGGTGGGGGAAAGGTAAGAAGGGAAAAGAAAAACTAAGCAAAGAGGAAAAAACATGGAAACAAAGTCTTTATAAATATGGAAAGGTGGAAGGGGTGAAGGGAAGAGGGGAATGGGAAAAAATAAGAACCGGGATACATCATGTAAAGGTGCAAGGTCCCAATGATGAATGCAACTGTATTGTGTACCTGAAATGTACCAATAAAATAAAAATTAAAGTGAAAAAAACAAGGGCTGTGGATGTAGTTCAAGGTCAAGGCCCTAAATGCAATCCCCAGTAAAGCAAGCAATTGCATTCTGAGTTATTTACCCTCCCAACACTCCTATCTGAAAAATATGAACCTCCTATAGGTCCACAATAGCAAAGGAATATGGAAAATTTTAGATATGATTGAAAAATATGTATTTTGCATTCGCTATTGCTTTTGTCTGGAATTGGTTATTTGCTCTAAAACTTCCAGAAAAGGCATGTGTTATTTGCTTGTACTACAATGCAAATAATGAAGAGAAGGAAACTGACTTATGTGTTTGGGGCACTGAACTCTAAGGTGTTTATTTTAGTTCCATTTCATGTTGCACTTGTCAGCTCTACATTCTTCCTAAGTTTCCCAAAAGAAAAAGGTGAATACAGCCATTCTTCATTTAAAGATTAAACAGGATTATAAAAAGCCCATATATCTGCTTGGCCATACATTAGTAAGAACAAAAAATGCAGACCTGGTTATTGATAAATTTGAATCAAATATGAATAAGAAAATTTCTAAAAATGTAACCACATCTGAGCACTCCAACCATTATTATAGTTTCTAAGCCCGTGTAATTTAAGTAAAATATCAATGTCCTTGTATCTTCTCATGCTTAAAATATCATCATCCAATAAATACTATGTTATGTATTTTCAGGGTACACAGTAATTCAAAGAAATTAGCACCTTTTACACTGAAATCCTACCCTTGCCCAGATATACAATTTTTCCCATTGTTCAATACTGATGTTATAAGAAGCAAAGGGTAAGGCTGTGTTTTTGTTGATTCGGGGATAAAGCTAAAGCCTGATTTGAAAAAGGAGGAAGTCTCATGTGACACTGGAAAAGCATCATCACTCAAAGTTACATTCTCTCAATACCCTGTCCTTCTAGGCATTTTTACACTCAAAAGGAGCATATTAGAAGGAATAAAGAATACACAGTTTTTCTTTTCTTAGCACTTAGAATTTTTTCTGATAACAAAAGAGAAGTAAAACAGAAGACTTCTGAAGCATCAAAGTAGTGTTTACCTTTGAATTTTCTCAGCATGTGTAATAATTCCTCTTCAATTTTTTTGTTCTTCAACAACCAATATTTCTATTTATGAGTTCCACTCAATCACCAACACATTTGTCAAAGATAATCTATTGTCCTGTGATTGTCTTAGCTTGGTCTGGTCTCAGTGTAAACTGTCCATTTTAAAAATTCCGAGCCCAGTGCTGTTTCAACACGCATTTCTCCTGCAGCTAACCATGTCGAGCAGTCTTTCAGGGATCTCTTGGTTGTTTGTGCTTCCATCTTACTCCAGGATAGCCAACACCAAGAAGCCAAATAATAACAAATGCTGGGGAGGTTACAGGAAAAAGAAACATTCAACATTCTTGATGGGAACAGAAAGTACTGCAACCACTGTAGAAGTCAGTATGGAGATTCCTCAAAAAACTAAAACTAGAAATCCCATTTGACCCAGAGATTCCACCTCTAAGTGTCTTCCAGAAAGCGATGAAGGCATCCTGTTGCTGTGGTGTGTGGACTCCCGTGTTTATAAGAGTACAACTCGTGGTAGTGAATCTTGAAAGAAACCTGAATGTCCATCAGCAGCTGAACAGGTAAGGAGAACGTGGTGTTTACATGCAATAGCGTTCTATTCTATCACGAAGAAGAATAAACGGGGTCATTCATAGGAAAGTGGTTGCACCTTGAGAACATAATATTAAATAAAATAAATCAAGCTCAAAAGGAGCACGATGTTTTCATATGAGCAATGCAAAATAAAAATAAATTGTGAAGCAAAATGAAGGATAATAGGAAACAACGAGCTAGATCTTTTGCAAAAGGGAAAGAGACGGAGAGGGAGAAGGGAGGGAGGGAGATGGAAGGGGATGAAGAAAAAGATCCGTCGTGTACCTGGACCAACTTCCCATGATGAATGTGATCATTATGTGCTGCAAAAATGCATCCATAAAAAAGAAAGGAACCGCTGGCCACCTGACTCAACTACTCTTATTTGATACGAAGGTAAAAGAGGCAAATGTCTCCTGCCGGGAAATGAAAAATGAATAAGGGCCTCGTAGAAACTGGACACCACAAAAAGTTGAGTCAGATCTAAAGGAAACATAATTTAATTCTTTTTAAGGTTCTCACAGTTAGAGGGCTTTAATATTAAAAGTATCTGTGTTAGTACGTGTTTCCATCCTGAACCTTCAACAGTGTCCTGAACACAAACCATCCCTTTCTCTTAAAGAGAAAAGGAGGGAGGTTATAAAGTATTTTTCCTCGTCTATAGGTTATTTTCTTTTTTTGTCTTTCGCCTTTCCTCCAAAGGAAATGCCATATATTCATTTCTTCTGAAGAATAAGATAAATTTTCAAAAGATGATGTCGGTTACAGGACATTTTACAATAATAAGTT